CTTCACTCTTCAGAAATCCGAGGAAGCTTTCAATGCTGCAAAGGTACGCTTCTCAATTTCGATTCGTAGAAATTCCTATTGGTTCGAAATTTGACAACCCTCGTCACTCAATTCGATTAGGTCTTCTGTTTACTTGAATTAAGAGAATTGGATCATTTTTAGGTTAAATCCACTTTCTAGATTGGGAAATGAAGTTAAGTCTTTAAGCAATATCATAAGATTGAATCACAATCTGAGAAAAAAGTTTCAGCTCTATGGTTTTTAATTGTGTTCTGATTGTTGAAAATGTAAAACTTAATGCCTGGAGGTGTGAACTCACCTGTCCGAGCCTTCAAATCAGTCCGTGGACAACCAGTTGTGATTGATTCTGCAAAAGGCTCACAAATGCGAGATATTGATCGAAATGAATACATTGACTACGTTGGATCTTGGGGACCTGCCATTATTGGTCATGCCGATGACGAGGTTTGTTTTCTTTCCGAGATTTCCATGATTTCGAGACGCTGGAATTTAGTTTTCTAATAGTCATTTGTGTGTCTAGTGCAGGTTCTTGCAGCTTTGGCTGAGACGATGAAGAAAGGAACAAGCTTTGGTGCTCCTTGTCTCTTAGAGAATGTTCTTGTAGAAATGGTTATTTCAGCTGTTCCAAGTATTGAAATGGTTCGGTTTGTCAACTCGGGTACTGAAGCATGTATGGGAGTTCTACGTCTCGCTCGTGCCTTCACGGGGAAACAAAAGTTCATCAAGTTTGAAGGTTGTTACCACGGCCACACAAACTCTTTCCTTGTCAAAGCAGGTAGTGGTGTAGCCACTTTAGGTCTACCGGACTCGCCCGGTGTCCCTAAATCAGCTACTTCAGATACTTTAACAGCTCCATACAATGATCTTGCTGCGGTTGAGAAGCTATTTGAGGCAAACAAAGGCGAGATTGCTGCCATCATTCTCGAACCTCTTGTTGGTAACTCGGGTTTCATTACACCTAAAGCATAGTTTATCGAGGGAATACGCAGGATAACTAAAGACAATGATGCTCTTCTTATATTCGATGAAGTCATGACGGGTTTCCGTTTAGCCTATGGTGGAGCTCAAGAATACTTTGGCATCACACCTGATTTAACAACTCTAGGGAAAATCATCGGTGGTGGTCTTCCCATGGGAGCATACGGTGGAAGAAGAGACATTATGGAAATGGTAAAGCTTGAGTTAGAAATTGATCCGAACATTCTCTGAATTTAGCCGCAAGAGAAGGAGAAAGTCCTAAGCTTTTATCGTTTATGTCTTTTTGCAGGTTGCACCCGCAGAACCAATGTATCAAGCTGGTACGCTAAGTGGTAATCTGCTGGCTATGACAGCGGGTATTCACATGCTGAAGCGGTTAAGGCAGCCTGGGACATATGAATACTTGGACAAGACCACCAAAGAGCTTACAAATGGAATCTTAGAAGCCGGGAAGAAAACCGGGCATGCTATGTGTGGCGGTTACATAAGCGGGTTGTTTGGTTTCTTCTTTACGAAGAACCCGTCTACGATTTCTCGGACGCGAAGAAGAGTGATGCAGAGAAGTTTGGAAAATTTTTCAGAAGAATGCTGGAAGGTGTGTATTTTGCACCATCTCAATTCGAGGCTGGTTTTACCAGCTTAACTCACACTCAACAAGACATCCAATTCACGATCGCAGCGGCCGAGAAGGTTCTAAGTCGAATCTAGAATGTCTTGGAAGCTCCCAGAGAGCCATGAATGCGTTCTTCGCGTGTTCTCATTATCTTCCCGGATTTGAACAGATGGGATTCTTGTGTAGTGAGTTTTATATTTTTCGGTAGATAGATGGATAACCGGAGGCCACTACTATGCTATTATTTAAAATCGAAGAATAGACCGGAGTTAACCAACACTGAACACATTAGTTAAACTTTGAAGTAATGGTGGTGGATTCAGATTTCAGACTTGAGAGTAATCTCACAAAATTAATCTATTGTAAGAAAAGCTCTTGCTTTGTGTTAATGGACTTTATTACAAATCACGATGAATACATTTATGTTTTTTTTTAGGGTATTTAGCTCAAATTCCATG